TCTAAAAAAGTTAAGTCTGGTCCTCTTGACATTCAAATACATTACGGCAAAGACTGGTTCATCCTAAAGATCCAGTCCTCCGGCACAAACAGAGTAATGTTGTGTATGCTGTTCAGTGTCAGGAGGGCTGTGATCAGTCTTACATCGGGGAAACTAAACAGCCACTGGCCAAAAGGATGGCCCAGCACAGAAGATCAACATCATCAGGCCAGGATTCTGCGGTCTACACTCATCTCCAGGCCAGCGGTCACTCTTTCAGGGATGAAGATGTTCACATCTTGGATAGAGAGGAACGATGGTTTGAGAGAGGAGTAAAAGAGGCCATCTTTGTGAAAAGCAATCGTCCATCATTAAACGGGTGGAGGCCTCCGGGTTCAACTGTCCCCCTCTTACAATGCTGTGATTGCTAGTATCTCTCAGCCCTCTGTGAATAGTAAACAGCCATCAGTGTGCTAATGATCCATTGTTAGGCTGATGGTCCTTCTTAACCATGTGAGCAGCTGGTTTAAGTTGTCAGCAGCAACTTGGTTGATCCACTCTGAGAAAATGCTATTTATAAGACTGAGCTGAATACAGCACCTCCGACTGAAGAAGTCTTTCGGATGAAAGACGAAATGTTTCTACCTTTTTTTTGTCTGTTTTTTTTTGTTTGTTCGTTTGTTTTTTGAATGTCCAGAGGACCAGATTTAACTTTTTGAGATACCCTTGAACAGTATCCTAGAAACAGTACAAACTTGTTTTAACTGGCCCATGAGGTAGTGCTCTGAAATATAAATGATGTTTAGAGAATTGTTACTAAAACTACAACAAAAATCAGTAAAATTGGTTTCTCATGTAAGTATCGGGCAATCTCCCAAAATTAAAGAAGTCGGGTTGGATTTATCGGCTGGCCAATTTATCGGTGCACCCCTAGTAAAATCGTAACTTACTGAACTGTATGTTATATTTTTAACCATCACGTTATTATATATTAAAATCTAATTGTGAATTCTGTGTAAAACCTGACTGACCTACTTTTGTTACACAAGTTGTTGACAAGGACAGAGTACAAGTCCATCACCTGGCGTTTTGTTGTACCTGTTTGTCTCCTCTTAGTTTCTTGCACGTGCTGGCCAAGTCACACGGCCTCCACTTCTCCACCAGCGTTCACTGACTCTAAAGCGTGTGCGTCATATTCTCAGGATGGAAAGCAGGTTTGGTTTCATTGAAGGGTGGTGAGGCTTTACTTGGCTTGATTAAGATGGAGCTGTGCAACCATAGAAACATCCTCCTATTCCTTCAAATTGTAGCTAACACAGTATCAGACTAATGCTGCTGCCAGCACAGACTCACTGTTTTCCATGTTTTTTCATTTTAATTTTTTATTTCAGTCTGCCATTGTTCATGTTGCTCTGCTGTTGTGCAGTCAGCAGGGGAAAAAAATGAAGAATATTAAGGAAACAAGATGTAATAAACTTCAAATACATATGTGATTCTTAAAAACACAACATAAAAATCCAATCTGAAATCATGTTAAAATGTAATATAATGGTTGTACGACCGTGGCTTCAAAATGTCTTTATCTCCAATAAACTCCCATTCGGAAAATGTCACTGTTTCTCATGAGATACTGAGCCAATATAATTTTCTCACAAGTCATTACGATCTCATGGGTCGTATTAACTGTTACCCAAACTCCCTGCTTCAAAATAAGAGTTTACAAACCAAGAAGCGATCTTATGGTGACTGTTTTTATTATTAATGTATGTTTTTTTAATGTAATTCTGGATGATGTAGTTGCTAAAAGAAACAGCCTATTTGAAATTATATTTTAACTGGACGTAATCGCCAAGCCAACTGACCTAAAAAAGTAATAGAGTGTTCTTGAAAATGTGTAGTCCCCTGCATTAGGACTGGTTGTCATAGGGTACTACACAAATATTGCAGAAGCAGGTGGTTTTAATGTAGGTTCAGGCTGTCAAAAAATAAACAGCAGGTCATTCTATAATTTTAACAGTAATTGTGGCATCTTATTTGTGAAAGTCAGATCATCTCTTTCAAACACTTGTTACATGTTCATTATATAATACAGTAAACATATACTTAACATCAACTTGATTTGTCAGGGAGACAGTTTATCAAAATAAAATGACAAATGGTGTACAAAACTCGCCCCACTAACAGCAGTTTGTAATGGGCTTGTATAATCACTGATACCCTCATATGTGACCTCTCATTTCTCACTCCTTCAGGGAAAGTCCTCTTGTTTATTAATAGGACATGCTTGCAAGGCTGAAATCATTGGCATGACTTCCTGGTTACTTTTCCGGTGCAGTCTCGTCTAATGCACCAACTGTTGCTTGCATCTGTCTTTATTGTGGGCTAAAATGGTCTAAAACCTAATTTAGCAGGTCTCAGATTTGCTGTTGCTGTCGATATCTCACATGCCTCATTCCTGTAATTCCCGTATGGCTCCAAAGACGTCATGGAGACATTTTCTACCGGATATCGCTTAAAATGTTCATCATAAAAGAGCAGGATTTTGTTGTTGATTTTGTGAAACAGGAAACAAGTGTGAGAAGATTGCCATAACATTACATTTATCGTCACAGGTTTTTTTTTTAACCCTCTTGATTATTTCTTGCAGGTAAATGGGTACCTGGAGATACATACAGTAATTTTGATTGGTTTATGGTGAATATAAATAAAATTCATCTTCATTGTGCAACAATATTGCCATCTATGTAGGTTATTCTTATTTTGGCTTTTCCCTCTGCCCTCACTCCACCTCCATGCCCTCTCATACTGCGTCCATATATCTTCTCTTTGTCCTTACTATTTGTCTTTTTCCTGGCAGCTGCATTTCTCAAGGATTCCAGGTTCTTTATTTGTCATACGCACCACATCTGGTACATGTGGTGGAACAAAATTGTGTGCACAGGGTCCCAGCTACATCCAACAAACGTATAAAATGCAAAAGAAAAACAGTAATCAGATCTAAGATATGAAATAAGAAAAACGTTAACTAAAAATTGGCTAAGCACCAGTAGTACAAAAACAACCAACGTCCTACTACCAATGTACTCACTGTTCCTCCTCTGGACATGTCCAAACCATCTCAGTCTGGCCTCTCTAACTTTATCAACTTTATTAAATTTATTTACCAGGTGGCTGGTTTGCCATCTATGTAGGCTATACTGATGTAAAATAAATATCTCAGCATGATTGTATGTGTTCATTAATCAGGATACAAAAACAAATAATAAAGCTGAACTCTTCTTAACTTTTGGCGCATCTAATAATTGGTAAAACATACTGTGTCTCGTGAACCTGTTTACAGCAGACCTGACACCAACATGTGCTGTGCATGATTCAGTCACTAATGGGCAGCTCTAAATACAGGTGTGAATGTGTTTAGGGTAGATTGAGGACAACGTCAGTTCTCCATTCTGTAAAAACACACGTTTTTAAATCAGCCACCGCTGCTAGCGAATGTAAAATGATTGAACAACAATTTGTGGTAAGATTCTGAAAATAGCAATTAATATGTATTTTTTTCTGAAATTTTAAATGTTCTGATGAATCTTTTGTCGCTGCATGAATTTTTGATTGTTAGCTTATTTTGCCTACTGTGGTCACTTTGTTGTAAAATATTTTACTAGTATCACAAGATGCTGAGTTTTCCAGCAGTAGCTCACATGTGTACATATACACAGAACTGATGCCAACAGAAAGCTGGTGTATGAAACAGCTTTCTGTTGGCATCATGACTTGAGGTTGAGGTGGTAAAATTTCAAGGTTTCTTATCAGCTATGTTGCACAGACGTAGAACGTCTTTTGTTTCACTTTTCTCATAGGTTATAAGCTAAAATATATTTTGTGAGTACAACACGTGTTACTCAAGTGAACATGAAATGCGTTGATGTAAAAAACAACAATATAGTTCTGGTACTTTAATGGACCCATCAGTAGACTTGCTGGTTGCCCTGCTGACAGTTGCCTGTGTGATGCAGAGTATGTTCATTTGCATGTTGTGCAGGTAACAGATCTGAGCACAAGTGGTTCCTCAGGATGTCGTGCTTTTTAAAAATAGAGCCTTTGTCTCCATGTTAGCTATTTGCACACATAATCCCATTAAGTCCAGGATTCAGCAAAAATATTTTTTTCAGGCGTTTGTCCAGCGCCACACAAAGCTCATTCTTGATCTAAACGACTCATAGTAGACCTAAAATTTGAACTTTACATGCTGTTTGTACTTTATTATTTCTGGAAGCTTGTTGGTGTGTCTTATATACAAACTTAACCATCAGTTTGTTTTACTGATTCTAACAGTTTTGTATCTCAATTAGACACTCTTGTGATGAGTTACAACAATGACATAATGCTAAGGTGACACAAAAACGTCAAAAAAAAAAAAAAAGAAAAAAAGTTGTACTGTGCTTCCTGTCAGTCAAACTAGTGTAGAAAGAACAGCTGGTCAAACCTCTGATCCCAGCCTGACCGACCTGCTAACCTACTGGCACAACATGCTGGTTCAGTACTTGGTTCTATAAAACGGAACATCTCAGCAAAAAAAGAAACTGTCCAGATGACTTGACTGAACATTGTTGGATTTTTACCTGGGATTATTGAGCATGAACTTGGGTGTTCTGTAACACACTCATTACTGACTTATAAATAAGTTTACTCTTGTTTTCCATCTACCACACAATGAATATCATTTGTTAATATAACTAATTTTTACGTGTAAATAATTTTGGAGCTGCTGTTCTCTCTGAACATCTTTGTAAAAGTTAGAAGTTTACACTTTAGAGGCAAGCCTATCAGGTTTCCTGACAATGGTGTGTGTATTCAGTGACATATTGTTTCCAATTAACTTGTAAGGGGGAAAAAACTTGATACATTTGATATGAAATTGCATTTTTGATATTCACCTTTAATATTTTGATTTTCAATTAAATAAATTTTACTTTTTGTGCTATTATGTAGGCTAACAGTCGTATAAATTTTCTGTTCCACAGGGCTCCAGAGATAATTTTGGGATTGCCGTTTTGTGAAGCCATAGACATGTGGTCCCTAGGCTGCGTGATAGCTGAACTTTTTCTGGGCTGGCCCCTTTACCCTGGGGCCCTGGAGTACGACCAGGTAAACAACCTCCTTCTCACTTCCCAACAGCCTTTTGCTTATTATTTTAAAGAATTTGAGTGTTTTGTCACATGGCTTTTTTATGTTTATATTTTAAGATTTTATGTAACAAGTTCTTTAACATGTACATTCAACTTTCAACCTTCAGTCCTATTGTCAAAACTGTTTTCGTCTGTGCTGTAATGTTTTTAGGTAAACTTTCTCTCCTTTGAAGTTATCTTCTGCTGTTCCTTGTCATTATTCCAACCTACACATCTTTCCATGACTGAAATGCCTGTTATTACCCCAGTCTTTTTTCTTTTTCCTTCTCTTTTTGTTATCTCTTACACTTTCTAATCTTGGCAGGCCACAGAAATGTGGTATAGTGTGTTTGCTTTTGAGTTTTCATCAATGCAGCTTTCGAAAACAGGCTTGCTTTAACCTCACTGCTGAAGTTTCTGCAATACATGATTCACTACTAGGCTTTATAAACATTGCTTCAAAGTGAAGTTCAGACAGGATAGTTAAAAAAAATAAATACATTTTGTACATAATTACACACAAAGAAAAATTGCAATAAACAATTTAAACATTGAAAAAACCTGACTTACAGTAGGAAAAAATTACAAATGTGTGCACTGTTTTCTTGGTGACGTACCCATCCAAAGGATTGTGCCAGCTGGTGTCTATTACAGTGAGCAGGCAGACATATTCTTATGATTAATGGTATGTCTATTAAAAGTCGCTGAATATCTCCCCCTTCTAGTGGGGCCCTGATTGTATCTTTCCTTGACTAGACTGATCTGGACTTAAGCTGAGCGGCTTTCCCCTGCAGCAGAGTCCTGAATGCAGAAAGTGTGCCAACAGAATTTCAGTCAGATCCTCTTCTGTCCCTTGCAGCATCCTACATCACTGCACTCAGCACTTCTGCACGCTGCACTCATAGCAATGTATTTTTATGCCTGGGCATCATTTTTCACCTTGCACATAAAAATGACACAAGAGATAACTCAACATCTCCGAAGAAGATTTGGCTTGAGCACTAGTCTAAACATGATTCATCTGCTTTTGTAGGAATGGTCAGTATGTTGCAGATGTGCTATACAAATATCTTCGAAACTTCTTAATTTAAGTTGGGGTTGCCTAGATTTTATAAGGTGAGGCGTGAGCAAAGCATTTAGAAGTTGATTTAGAGAGGGTTTTAGAACAAGAATTTGTAGGACAATGTCTTTCAAAGAGCTCAAAGCTCACCAAATAAGTGACAGTCTGAAACTAATGTAGATTTTTAAGTTTTATATTTTTGAGCCAGCTATATTTTCATCCCATGTGCAATTAATAAATGTTTTATTTATTTTATCACAAGAACAGTTGTGACTGAACTCTGCTATAACACTCAAATTTCAGATTGTATTTTACCAAACCTTTTCCAGTAGTCCCACGTTTTGAAGCACCCACACGTGCCCCCACCCTCATTTGTCCCACTCTGGGCCCTTGAGCAAGGCCCTTAACCCCCACCATGTGCTCCTCCGGGTGTCCTAGATAGCAGCTCTCTGCTCCACACAGAGGGCTGTGGTACCTCGGTGGTCTGTGGTTGTGTCAGGAAGGGCATCCGGCGTAAAAATAACTGTCAAGTCTTCGTGCGACTTAGTTTGCTGT